ACAGTTTGATTCCTGTGCAGGTTTTACTTTAACACTACTAATTACGAACCAAACCCAGAAGCCACGACCTCTTTTATTTCGGTGAAAAATCTATTTTGTAGCTCATTTGTTGTCCACAAACTATATGATTTTAAGATTAAACCCTTCGTCGGTGTCTTTGATTTTAAAACATGATCGGTGACGCACGGAGTTTTTTTCCGGGTGTTAAATAATTAGACAAAAACTGTGTTTTGTACAAACAATAATACAAAATGTATTTAAGCCATTTAAATCAATAAATTGTAAATAAAATCAATAAAAAAAACTCTTACTTTGTATATTTATAAAATACATAGCAAACATAAGCAACACTGTATCTTAGGGATTATACTATGGGCAACCCATAGTCCCATTCCCATCTATATAAATAAAGCTTGGTGTGGTTTAACACATTCAAAATAAATATAGTTCTGTTACACATCTAAACTATATATAAATACCCCCAGCGCAGTAAACCTGCAAACTAAGGGAGTTTCCACTTGGCTGAAGGGGTTTTTATTGAAACATTTATTTATCAGATTCATTCCTATTTATAACATTAGGTTCAACGAGTACCTACGTTTGCTACCACAGGAAAGGAAAAGGGATTTTTTAAAGAAATTTAATTGTATTGTAGCTACGAAATAAATCAATACGCCAAATTTTATCAAAACACATGCATAAAAAAGCTATCTACCGTGAATACCATGGGAATTTAAACTGTAAATCTGTTAAAATCTCCTCCGTAATCTTTGATACCACAACTACTCTTCTATACACAATCGTAGTGAAAATTGGGAATTATTTTTGTACTGATTTAGACATTTTCAAACCTCCATAACACCCCGTTCCCATATCCCGATCTTGTTGCTTTGCAAGCTCATATAAGTGTAACAAGCTCTACACGTTCAGTAAGTAAAAATTAAAGGATGTATAGTTTACATTAATTTAGAATGACTACATTTCAAATTAGTTAATTAGAATGCAGGCCACTAGACGTGTAGATGTCGTAGGTAATGTGAATCATCGTGTTTTAAGTAAAATGATATCCTTGAATCAAGAGAACAAGATGTATTTCTTGCTGACACTGACGTCCGAAAGACCTATTAGTCTTCAAACTGAATTGGCTAACTAGCAAAAAGTGGAAAAGATCAACCAAAGTAGCGACAAATGCCAAGAGAGACCGGATATTGTTCTGGATAAACCGGAAGTTCGGAATCTTGTAAAAAGCTGTCGGACTTGGTGTTTTTTCGGCCACTTTACTTTGAGTAGCTGTGACATTCGACTCATGGACCTGCGCTTCTATCTGCAGTGCGCGACTGCGTCTGGCTTTAAAACGTTATACGCCTTTTAGTTTAAGAATAATTTATATAGTAATAGTAATAATAGTAATAATTTATATTTAGTATATTGCTAAGGGATTATTTATCAAGAATTAATTTACAAAATTGCGTGGATAGAATAATACGTCAGTAAATTTGCATGGACGTTGGATTAAAATCTCCCACAACTAAGTCAACAATATGGTACTGCGGCTTTACAATGATGTTTGGTATATGCGGAATTGTAACGGATTTTTTTTAAAGAACATTTTATTTTAACCTATAATTGAGATGACCACCATTTAAATTTGCCAATCTTATAGTTTTAAGCATTGATTCAGATCTCTTCAACAAATAAATATGATCTTAGTTGACAAAAACCGAATTCTGACGGAGATACAAAATTATCTCTAAATAATTATCAAGCCCCTCGCTCGTAGTCTGTAGTTTTAAATTTGCTATTTTATTAATACCACAACTACAGTATAATGCAAAAAGATCAAAATAGCAAAAAAAAAAAAAAAAAAAAAAAAAACTCAATACAGCTTTAAGTCGTATGAGTGCAATCATGTGATACATGTGTTATTATTTATATTTATAATTAGTTACACAATTAATTTATGTTGAAAGTTAATGCACAAGCCAAAGCCTTCTCTACATAAACTCGTTATTCTGACCAAGTGGCTGCATCTGTTTCTTTGGGGACTTTGAGAAATTTGAGAATGGGAAATCTATTTTTCTGCGTGAGTCAAGAAGATATTGTGTCTTATTATTCTTGCAAAACCCTCAATTATTTAGCTAAATAATAAACCATCTCAAATTAGTATAATTCAAACCTAAAATAATATATTCAGCCTAACGTATCAATATCAAGGAACAGGAAGCATACTCCCCCTCCTAATTTGAAATTCGATTCCCAAACTATCCTAGAACCTAGAAACCATTCACTGCGGACGCCGGAAAGATGTACCATGACCTTGTACCAAGGACGACGGGAACAGCTGATGTCGTTGACAGCGAATTGTTATCAGCATCACTATCAGTATCGGAACGACCTTCTGGATATCAGCAGACCAGGATCAGGAGTGGAAGTTTATGTGAAGATCGAAGATAACTTCTATTTACATCGGGTTAACAGCTGAAATCAATTACTTTGAAACAATCGACAGACCACCTCGATTGCTGATAGTCTTGGATACTGTCTAAGGTTATTCTGTAGTTTGTGGTTTATTAGCAGTAATGAGCGTGGTGTTTTTCAAATTTTAGGCATGATAAAAGTGAGAAAGTTCCGAATCAAATTATAGTCAGCCAAGTTCACTTCCAAAATGGTTTTCAACAAAACCTTTTAAGAATAGTCAGCTTAAAATATCATTAACATCTTTATCGATACGCAATTCCCTTCAATATGCAAAGGTGGGTGTAAAAAGAAACAACAAAGCTGTAAATTGCTTTTTGTAAAAAAATTGCAAAATTGTACAACAAGAATGACGAAAAGCAAACATTAAACCTGTATGACATCTGAAAGATTGGACATCCACTGAAATTTAAATATTACAGATATGGTTGATTTTACGGATTAAAAACACTGTTATACAGGGTGGGGCAATGAGAACACCACAATTTGTTTTAGCTGTCACATGTTAATTGTTGCAAAAACGAATGATCAGCTGTGCGTAAAACATCAATTAAACTATGCCATTTTAGTAAATATTATGCCCGAGGCTATTAACACTGAGATTTTAATGTGCAAACCTATTTTACTTTCTCCCCCTATACCATAGTATATGGAGAAAGTATTGTTTTCGTCAAAATTTTCGAGTTTGAGTTTTGAGTGGATATATTCGTTTTGGGTCCCCCTGGACCCAAAAAAGTTGTTTTCGAAGTGATGTCTGTGTGTGTGTGTGTGTGTGTGTGTGTGTGTGTGTGTGTGTGTGTGTCTGTGTGTCTGGATGTGTACAGAGCTAGAGACCACACCTGTGGTCCGATTTCGATGAAATTTGGTATGTAGGTTCTAATCCATGGTATCTCCAGGCGTTTTTTTTCATTTTTTTGAAATTTGGATTTTTAATGGGAATTTTCCCATAAAAACCCATAAAAAACCGGAAAAATCGAATTTTCTCAAAAACGGCCCGAACGATTTTGGTAAAAATTTAGTATGTTGTAGCCCTTTAAATTCTGGACACAATGGTACAAATCCCATTTCTCTAAAAATTACGGTTCAAAGGTTATTGTAAATTCTGTCATTTTCCCTTAAAACCCCCATAAAATAACAGAAAAATCGGATTTTCCCAAAAATGGCCCGAGCGATTTTGATAAAAATTTAGCATGTTATAGTCCTTTAAATTCTGAACAAAATTGTACAAATCCCATTTCCGTATATTTACTCTCACCACTTACATATGATAAAGGTTGTTGACAAACTTATGGGAGAAAGTATGTGTCAGAATGCTGATACCGTTTATTTAAAATAGTGGTTCTTGTGCAAAAACCCAGAGATTGTTTGGACCACATTCCATCCTTGGTCAACATGGCACTGTTCCGGATTGGAAAACAATGGTGAACTGGGTAAAATTATTTAGGATAAACGCTTAAACCTAAAAAAATAATCGGTGGGTGCCGCAAAACTCTTTGTACACCAGCAAATTTTGAAAGAGTGCGAGTCGCAGTAACTCAAAGTCCAAAGAGATTTGCCAGGAAGCTGTTGTTGTTGAAAGCTTTACGTTGGCTCCTTTTTTTGGAAGGGGGGGGGGGTTTCTAATAAGCTACTTGAAGTTCGAGGTTTTTCAAAGTCACCCCACAGATTTGCTTGAACCGAAGCTAAGAATTGTCCAAAAACTAAAGTGATTCCTGAAGAAATGCTGGAGGAGTATTTGATGGAGTTTTCAAGTGCCTAATGTCAAGTAGGACAAGGACGTCACTTGCAGGATTTCGTTCTCAAGAAATGGAAAAATGACTTGCTAAGTTAAAATGGCAAAAGATAAGCTGTGTTTTGATGTGCTATTTATATCCATAGGGTAAATATTATTGATTTTGTACTGCTTATAAATTGTGGCGCTTTCATTGCCCCACCCTGTACATATTGGGCATATAATAAAAACATATTGGGGTGGTTATATTAAGATACCATTGACTTATTTAGGAATACATTCCGATTCCAGTGAACTAACGACATTTTTATCTATGGTTTATTTTTTTATTGAACTATTGTTACATTTAGCCTTTGTTCTTGAAGTAAAATTTTGTAATCCACCAATACATTTCGCCACAGTGTGTGGCATCTTCAGGGAGACGAGAAGTGAAAGAACAAGGGCTAAAGGTAACAATAGTTCAATAATTATGTATTCTAGTTCTTGCCACTGGAAAATACATAAAATAATCTTTATTGTTTTCTAACATCTTTAAGATTGCTTTTGAGTAACTAATATTGTTTTATAGAGAGATTTATATAGTTTTCCTAAGTATCTAAATAAACATTGACTCCCTAATTTTTTTAGTGCAAAAGTTTACTGAGCTAGGACGTTTCAAGAATTAGAATTTCAATACAATCATGATCCAACGCCCACTCCAATTACCAAGAGGTTTCTACCGGTTTCTACACGCCTTTACACAAGATTCAACTGTGCAGACAACAGTCATGACAACATCGATTGTATCTATAAGGTCCTTGAAGGTTGCAGAGGACATAACACTCGTGTCCAAGTACCAAGCTGTAACCCTCGACGACTTCCATGTTCCTGGGAGGTTGTTGGTCTGTTCGTAGACGCGGAACTGGAGTCTCCAGAGGTGCGGAGTTCAAAGGTCCTCCAGGATCCTTGGAATTGGAAGTTCCGGGTGAATAAATACCTGCCAAAATAAATGAGAAGTAGACACACGTTGACTATTAATGAGCACGATAATGGGAATTGTTAAAAAACTTCAGGATATGACGAAAGTGTAAGTTTAATCACTGACAAGGGCTCAGTCAATGGTTTAATCTTTCGTTCGTGCAGTTGAGCTTGTTTTGTTGTTAAAACCAATATGCCTTAATGATGTATTCAGTTAAGAATGCAAATCTAGTTTGAATCTAATTTTTTTGGGGATTAATTTAACGTTTTCGCCTAATGTTGTTGTATACATAAATGTGTCAGTGAAACAAAAAAAAACCTAATTATTTATGTTCTATTCGTAAAACCAAATATTAATTAATTCTGAAATATCTTCAGAAAAAATATTTGTTGAAACATTGAATAGGTTTCAATCATCACTTTAAACCGATTTAGTTTTTTCAAATGAACTCATTTCACGAATAAGAATTAGTTAAACTTAAATGAAATCCAACCACAGTAACACCAACTAATTAATGGACGGCCCTAGTACCATTGAGTATAAACCTAGTACCCTACTAGAAGTAATAACTACTTTAATGGTAAAATGTTAAGTTCTTTATCACAAAATTTATTGCATTGGGAAAGTCAATCATAAAAAAAATTAAATGAAAAACTCTTTATTGAGAAATGTGTACGAAAACCCACTGACTAAAATAATTTGACATTTTAAATCTAACACCATCAGAGAAATCACGAGCTTTGTAGCAAGCACTTTCAACTTTAGTGCTTTGCAATTTCATAAACCTGAGTAAAAAAGTCTCTAAAGTTGTTGTGGCTTAAAAAACTAAATGTTGAACAGTAACACTTTCAAACCTTTCCTTACATGATAAGGACAGAAGACAATACATCTGATCAGTCTACAATGACAGAGTGACTAACGGAATCTGCAAGGTCTGCCTCTGAATGGGTGTCATTGTGGTCGTCATCTGACAGGCTTGTAGGAAGTACCTGACGGATAGGAATCATTTGAAGGATTACTGTCGGAAATAACACTCTACCCTTGACTGGTAAGGCACTGGACAGGGTTTTAGATTACTTTTTAAACCACATTCAACTTGTGACCTTTTGATTCAGAGTTAATGTATGCAACACTGCAAGATACTGAAAGAACCTGAATATGTGTAACTCTTATGTCTCGAACAAAAAATGCAGTACAGTACTGTGGGCGTGCCATGGCCAAATTCAGTTAACAAATTACCCACAAATTAACCAAATGGTACTTACGTGTTATACCCATCACACCTTACACCTAATAACTATTACGCTGGTATGTTTTGCAGCAAGACAAACATAATGTTTACGTCCACATAGTAAGAATTTTTAATATTCATTGCTAAAGGAAAACGCCACTTCGTTGGTTACCGAAACATTACCACTCTATAGGCAATGTGATAAACAGCTAGAGTTTCTTACCAAAGAGTAAGAATACACACTGTATGGCCTATGACTAAATGAACATGTCAGCCTGGCCGGTCTGTCTTATCGCGTACCCTGCTTCAATAGTAGGAACAAACATCTCTTCTCGTTGCCCTACAACCGCACCACTGCCCATGCCTCCTTCCCCCTATATCGATTAATGAAAGAATACAATCTGGTAATAGAAAAATGCAATAGTATTGATATTTTCTCTGACAACATGCAAAATTCCAAATTAAAATTAAAAACCGTGTTCATCACCAATGATTAATATATTTCTTATTCACTGTTGTATTTATTTTACAATTCAGTATTTATGTATTTATATAATTTATCGTTGTTAGTCTTTTTTTAATATTTATATATTGTTAGGCCTATAGTTATTGAAAATTTTATTTTTTATGTTGTTATTGCATGGCATGAAAGTGTAAGCTAAATTTAAGTGAATGGACAAGAAGAAACCCAATGAAGAAATTATTATAAGTAAATGAACTGCTTCAATGTAAATTGTGTAGGCCTATACTGTATTGAAGCATGTAAATAAAATAAAATAAAATAAAATAACAAATTACCGTAATAAATCAGTTTAAAATGTCAAACGCCGATTAGATTAGATCTTCCCTACGCAGACAAGCCAGCGTGTGTATTGCGTAGATGTTGAATGAATGAGATGGAGCTCTGTTATTAACTCAGATCAGCTCTTTATTTAGCTAATTATAAAAGCCAAATGCTAGAGGTTGTATTTTCTCAGGATTGAACCTTCGGATTATCCAAAGAGCGCTATAACCACTCGCCTACCCAGCAAATCAAACATTTACCACCCCTTTACCTTTTTAAAAATCTGGTGAAATTCTTTACACACCAGGAAGTAGATACATTTGAATAAAATGTCACACTACTTTTAAGATTTGCAAAAAAGTAAGATGTGAAGAAACGACTTCCGACCTTGACGGTAATCTCGGTCGTCGCGGAGAGGTCGTCCGGTCCTGGTGGACATCCACTACGTCCACAGAGCTTCCTGAGTAGATAGTGGAATGTATAGTGTCTGTTGTAGTTCAATAGTGTTTATACCCCAGTTACGATACTAACGAACAACACCTCTCGATATCGTGCATTCAATGGACGGTGTAAAAAAATGCGATGCATGTTAGTGGCTGTTAATCATCACGCTGAAACTATAAAATCTGAACTGTGAGACGTGGTATTTTAATGGGATTCGTTCACATGTATATGTTGCTGGTGCATGTTATTTGATTTTACTCTTCATAGGATTTTCTAGTTAGTTTTGGGATACGTGGCAAGGTTGTGAAAATTTATTTATTACACAAAAAAGATTTTTCTTATGAAATTTATCACATGTAAACAAATTACAAACTAACTAGTACTCTCCATAACATTTTCTTTACTTTCATCATCAATTTTAAGGACGTTGTACATTGAAAAAATCACTTTATGCTAATATAAAACCAACAACAATGCGAATGTTCAAAATTGTATGGTAAACATAATAAATAATAACATTATACACTTTTAATACTGTGCATTGCATATACAGTATAAGTATTCATACAAACATTAATTTTACCATAATATATATAAAAATGCGAAAGGAATAGGTAGAGGGGAGGATATCTATGCAAACAACCGATTAAGCAATTTATTAATCGCCTAGCTTCATTGGTGTTTTGGAATCAAGCTTAAAATTTACCAACTCAAATTTTACCAAGTAGGCAGGTATTCAAAATTTTGAGTAGTCCGCATTTTGATGCTGATCACACATCCTTTATTTAGTTGTGTTAGAAAATATAATCCATGAAGGTAACAGGGGACTACTTCATTGGTATATTACACTCGTATGTCAGTTAATGCATATATTTCATGCATGGAAGTATGCTATAATTACACTTTAATAAAAACGTCATGCTCACGTTGCGTTAGAAATGAAAATATGAATCAGTCGATTAGGTATTAGAACATTATTAGTTAGTTTGTTTATTCAACTAAATAATGCCCATGATTTTAACATCTAGCCTTGTGGAAAATAAAATCTGAAACCCTTCCACACAACCTCCGAAAAGAAATAAACGTCCAATAATTTCTCCTAGATAATTATTTCCTGGCCATTCGGATTTGAACGCACTATGTTTACAACTGTTGTAAAGTAACTCGTTTATGAGCTGTTTTCGGAATAGAAACATATGATTAAATAGTAACGTATGATTAAACCATCGTGTTGCGAGATCATGTCATTGGCCGAGTCGCAGCCTTCTATATATGACCTTTGCCGTGGTCACGGGCGGGCCACTGCCTGTTTGATTAAACTGGTCACTGTCACTGCCACCGCCTTCTCGATTATGACTTGCATCGTCGTTAATTTGCTTTATTGTTAATAGAGGCTGTTGCGAAAATGTAGGCAATACTGATTGTATACATGTACACATGTAATTGTATACATCTCTGTAATATACTTAATGTCTGTGTTCTGAATGTGGACGAAAACATAATTTCATTATCTCCTAACCCGCCAATTATAAAGTTTATAAAATAATTGATCTTAAATGGTGGGTCGCACTGAACGCAGCGCTTCTTAATTATTATATGCACTGTGCACTATATATACTACTTGTTACATATGTTTTATTAACATTTTATTCTAACATGTGTTCAAATTATTATTTTGTTTACTTGTTGAATTGTTTATGTTTACTTACAGATTGTGATTTAATAAATACTAACTTTCTATTTTCTTATACAAAATGTGAACTTTTATTAGTAAAATTAGTGGAATCAACAATGGCGACGAGTAAAATGGTAAGTAGAAAAGAATTTGAACTATGTATAAAGAAAAGGAAACTACTAGAACTACGCTTGAACAAACTCAAGGATGATTTACCTACATGTGAACATTCTCAAGATACATGCACTTACTACTCAGATAAACTTTTAGCAATATGGAACTGAAATTGAAGTTACACAGTCAAATATTGAACTTCACACAGATTCAGTAGAAAGTGAATTAGAAATTCGATGGCAGTTAGAAGAAATATATAGAGAGATAAGAATATTCCTTGAAGCAGAAAAGAAAAAGTACATTACACAGGCAGCAATGTCTGCTTCTGCAACATCTCAAAATGTATCTAATATTCCTTTCCAGCCGTATACACCAGAGGAAAGTTTTCAAAACTTCACTCGACGCTTTGAAAACTACACAAAATTACGGGGAAACTTAAGTCCAAAAGTCAAAGTGGATTTATTTTTACAGGCAATCACCCCACAAATACATGAACAGCTATACGATCTTTGCATACCAGATGACCCACACAACAAGCCATATGAGGAATTGATTCACATGTTAATGGCTCAACTAGAACCAAAACCCAGTATTTGGGCTCGTCAGCACAAATTTACGACACGTACCCAATTATGTAATGAATCTGTACAAGCTTACGCTAATGCTCTTAGAAAGCTCAGTGTAGAATGTCAGTTTACTTGTACAAGTTGTAATGAATCCGTGTCTGAAATTCTACTTCGAATGCAGTTTGTCAGGGGACTAAAAGACTCTGATATACGTCTTCAACTTCTTCAAGATAAACTATTGCAACCGTTTAAAGAAGTAGTCGAAAAGGCTGCTACATTGGAACTAGCTAAAAGTGAGAGCAGAATACTAAAGACAAATGAAAATCAAGAGGAAGTACACCAAGTATCGAGCAAGAACAAACAACCAGATAGTAAGTCAAGTAAACAACTCTCTGGGTATCAATCTCGTTTGGAGAAACTGAGGAACAAATGCTATAGATGTGGTGATGATTCACATAGAGCGCATCAATGTAAGTTCAAAAATGCAGAATGCAACTCTTGTAAACGTTTTGGTCACTTAGAAAGAGTATGTCTAAGAAAACCAAACAAAGAAGTAAAACAATCTGATGAAACCGCAGAAAATACAAGCGATGACACTCATGAAATTTACCAACTTAATTCAAAATCAAATGACAAGTTTATGCTCGAGGTAAAAGTGGAAGGACGACTCATGACAATGGAATTAGATACAGGAGCGGCTCTTAGCATTGTATCATATGATACATTTAGGCTTTTAAACTCTTCAAAAAGGATTTTCAAGACAAATGTTCAACTCAAGACATACACTGGGGAAATAATCAATCCAAAAGGAGTTGTTTTTGTAAATGTTCAGTATAAAGATCAAAGTTTTGTTGGAAAACTGTACATTGTTAACAAGTGTGTAGACTCTATATTCGGAAGAGAATGGATAAGAGAGATTCAACTCGATGCAGCTGACATACATTCATTGAATTCGAGTGAAGAAAACGAAAACATTCAAGAACTAGATGATTTGATGATTCGATATGAAGACATTTTCAAAGAAGGCATTGGGAAAATACCAAACGAAAAGGGTCATTTTAATGTCAAAGACGAAACCCAGCCAATTTACATCAAACCTAGACACATGCCATATGCATTACAAGAAAAAGTAGAGAAAGAACTTGAAAGACTGGAGAATTTGGGTATAATCACTCGTGTCGAATCATCCGATTGGGGGACACCCATTGTGCCGGTTGTCAAACCCAATGGTTCAGTCAGAATATGTGCTGACTACAAGGTGACTTTGAACAAAGTTATTAAAGGCGAACATTACCCTATACCTAGGATCGATGATATCATGTCAAAGATGCATTGTGGAAAGATATTTTGTACTCTTGATATCAGCAACGCATACTTGCACATGGAGATGGACGAAGACAGTGCCATCATGCAAACAATCAGTACTCATAAAGGGCTGTTTAAAGTGAACAGATTAATGTTTGGAGTAAAAGTGGCACCCTTGTTATGGCAAAGATTCATGGACAAAACATTACATAGCTTAGAAGGCGTACAATGTTTCTTTGACGACGTAATTGTCCAAAGATCTAACAGGGAACAGCTTCTTCGCCGACTGGAACAGGTGTTTGAACGACTGAAGTTAAATGGTTTGAGGCTAAATAGGGAAAAGTGTAAGTTTTTCCAGACCAAAATTGAGTATTTAGGTCATGTAATCGATAGCAACGGACTACACAAGTCAGATGCTAAAATACAGAGCATTTTAAAATGTAAAAGACCAGAGAACGTAACTGAACTCCGAACTTTCCTAGGCCTTGCGAATTATTACAACAAATTCATAAAGAACTTGGCTACACTACTACATCCTTTGAATCAGCTGCTACGAAAAGGAAACACCTTTAAATGGAGCTCTGCTTGTGAACAGAGTTTTCTGAAGATTAAGGAAATTATTACAAGTGATGACGTGTTGGTACATTTTGATCCTAGCTTGCCACTGGTCTTAGCTACTGATGCTTCACCGGTAGGTGTGGGAGCCGTTCTTTCACACCGCTATAGGGATGGAACGGACAGGCCAATTGCCTTCGCCTCTCGATCCTTGTCAAAATCTGAACAAAAATACTCTCAAATCGATAAGGAAGCCTTGGGAATATATTGGGGCCTGAAAAAGTTTTTCCCGTTTTGTTATGGCCGCAAATTTACTTTGATCACAGATCACAAACCCCTAGTGTCAATTTTTAATCCAGAAAAGACCTTGCCAACAATCTCGGCAACACGGATATTCAACTATGCTCACTTTCTCTCCGGGTTCGACTATGACATAGAGTACAGGCAAACCGCTCATCATTGCAATGCAGATTATCTTTCACGTTTCCCTATCGAAGTTGTTCAAGAACATTCTGTAGATGACCTCTCGAAGTACCACATAAATCAACTGGAAACACTCAATATCAACAGTGCCGTGGTGGCTAAGGAAACTCTCAACGATGCTGTTTTAGGTCCAGTCCTACAGGCCTTAAAACCGGGACAATCTGTTGAACAATACGGATTTCACGATAACGAGCTGTCCATTCAAGATGATTGTGTACTGAAGGGCTGGAGAGTCATGATACATCAATCTCTCAGACCTCATGTGCTTCGAGAACTACACGTAGCTCATTTAGGAGGAATAAAAATGAAGGCTTTAGCTCGCAGTTTTTGCTGGTGGAAATGTATAGACAAGGATATTGAAGAGATGGTAGCTGAATGTCGACAATGCATTGAAAAATGCAACAACCCGAGAAAAACTATCCATCCATGGGAACAACCTTCTAATCCATGGGAGAGGGTGCACATTGATTTCTTAGGACCAACAGATGGCCAACAGTACCTGATATTAGTGGACGCCTTTAGTAAGTGGGTGGAGGTTATACAGACTAAAACAACTACAAGTACATGGACAGTCCAAGAATTACGGAAAATCTTCTCAACTTTTGGCTTTCCTCACATCTTAGTTTCAGATAATGGAAGACAGTTTGTTTCTCAAGAGTTCAAAAACTTCATGAATGAATATGGGATTATTCACAGAACAACGGCACCATACCATCCAAACTCAAACGGCCAGGCTGAAAGATACGTACAGACTGTCAAGAAGGCGTTAAAATCCATGGAGGGAGAAAAGGGTACACTGCAAAATAAAATACAAAGACTCTTAATGCAACTCAGGCAATCCCCTAATTCAACTGGTACATCAGCATACCACCTAATGTTTGGAAGGAGTGTACGAACAAACCTTGCAATAATTGTTCCAACATTAGAACCGAACAAATATCAGAAGAAGGGAGTCCAAATCGGTATAAAAAGGAATTTAAAAGTTGGAGATAAAGTGCAAGCGCGGGAATATGTCAATGGTTCGTCCAAGTGGTGCTCGGGCTATATAACTCAAAAGCAAGGACATGTAATGTACGTAGTTCATCTGGAAGATGGACGAATAATAAGAAGACATGTTGACCAGCTGATTCTTCGTAAAGTGCAGCAGCACAGTAAATAGAGGAGGAGGTGTTACATATGTTTTATTAACATTTTATTCTAACATGTGTTCAAATTATTATTTTGTTTACTTGTTGAATTGTTTATGTTTACTTACAGATTGTGATTTAATAAATACTAACTTTCTATTTTCTTATACAAAATGTGAACTTTTATTAGTAAAATTAGTGGAATCAACACTACTAAAATACTACAGTACTAAAACTACTTCTAAAACACTACTAATTGAATAATAAATCTCTTAGCTAAAGTGAGGCCAAGTATTAGCTGTTATAGTGCTACAAGGCTTTGAAAGACGTACAGAACTCTCGAAGGGTTGGCCATGCATTTATCGTTTTTTGAAAGTTTTTCATAAAAGAACTATTTTTATTTGGGCCATGTGGATGAAATTAATCCTCTTTAAGACCACCAGATTATATTATGAACCATGATCATATTAAGGAGCGTAATGAAATGATGATATCTTCTATCGAACTAGGTCCCAAATTATCTTAGTATCTATCTAATTATCTTAGTGAAAATTCAGTCTAACCTCAAATATGATATAGATATCCCTTTTCGTGCGTTTATTGTACTTCGATTTGTAACCTTTTTGAATTCAAAGTACAAAAAGCACTTAGCGAAAACGCATCTAAATCCCTTCCATTAAATGTATATTTTCAAAACTGTCTTGTCTGTTCTCAGTAGTACATACACGCTTTTTTACATTGCGCATTTCGAACACTTAGAAACCTATAAATATTCAAAAATTCAAAACTTCTCCCTTGTATCATCCCTGTTTATTGCTTACCAAAAGAATCGTCCACCAACAGCATTGCACCTGGCGTGCATTGTTTGTGCAGATGCTACAACAGAGCGATGTTGCCCAAGTCTGTGCGACCTTTCACTCGGGAATGCCTGAGAGAGTCTCGCAACTCCAGATCACCCGAGACCTTGACCTCTCAACGACGGTCCACGAGGAAGTCGTGACTCCTCGGACCTATTCTCTTCACTTTCGCTCCAGGAAGTCACTATTCATTTTTGCTATTTGGGAGTTGCGTTTGTATAATTTATTGGGTGGTTTGCATACGCAATGTTAAACTGGAGTAACTTGGTTATAATGTCCATATGTATTTTTTGTTTGGATTTATTTATTTTTTAATTTTGAGACACCGTTTCTTATACATGTGAAACACTGTTTCCGTATTGGTTATTACAGGGTAAGGGGATGCACCCCTTTAGATATTGATTTGGCTCTCTCATTTATATATACTAGAGGTTGTCCAGTGGTCGAATACTCGACCAAAAATATTTAATGTACAGACTTCTCTATTTTCACCCCACGCTGTAAATAAAACATGTGATTGGAAATTGCGATTTGTTTTCATTTTCTGTTTATATTTCGTTGTTATTTCGTCACCAGCATAGCAACCCATAAGGCCCACTTTATCTTTTTAATTTTAAATTAATTTTTTGTGCTTATTTTTTAGCGTGTTTTAGTTTATAAACGGATTCTGCACATCTACAGGAAAATATCAATCTAACAATATACGTAGATTTTTCCTGTGATGCACACGCGCTGATAAAAAAGGGTTTAAAGAAAAATGCTTGCCTATTATTATATAGATATTTTGTTTAGCCGTTGCAACTTTTTTACTCAAAGTGAACAAGTTGATTAGACTTCAACTGAGCTACAATTTATATTGTTGTATTATCACGAGAAAATATATTTACCCAATTCTGATTCAAATTCTTCTGTTATGGTCCTGACCATTCTAAACAAAATAGAGCATCCCTTCATTCCTGTTAAAATTACTGTTCAAAAGTTAATGAAACTTTTGAGATTTTACCTATTAAATACCATAGTTACTCTCATCGTTTACCCATGATATAGGTTGTTGACAAGCTAATCGGAGAAAGTATGTGTCTGATTGCTGATACCGTTTATTTTATATTTTTATTCCATATAACTGGCAAAGTTTTAAACATGGGAATGGAACATATGGCTGAATGGTGTAATGTTATTAAGGTGAACTTACTTTAGCCTGATCATACACCAGTAAGCCAAATGTTCTATCTTTCATACAATTGTGTATTTCAACTTTAGAACTTTAATATCACAAGGCCTTTATTCGCAATCAATGTAAAACATTTTAAATAATTGTTCGCTGAAATTTAAATTCTTTATTGATTTATCCGTCCTTCAAACCTATATCAAAACACACATACTATCTTACATCACGTTCAAAACAATCATTAATTAATTCAGTAAACATTACATACTGATAATTCAAATCGTTTGCGTGCCAACTATCTACAGAACCATTCCTAGAGCCTGCTATTATCTATAGGTCGTATATCATAGTTTCAAGGTGGTGTAGGGCTTATTTTGGCGGTGGAGCCCCATAGGTACATCCCGGGGCCTTGGCAGGGGGGCCGGGGGGCAGGTATATAGCAGGGGGGCCTCGCCTCGACGCAGTCTATGTTGGCCAGTGTAACAATGATGGTCCTAGGATTGAGCCTTGTGGTATCCCTACTGGTGGCGGTAGCCTCACCTACCCACCTACGTGAGTTATATTGTTTTATTAAATCAATTAATTTAAATATTTTTTAGGCTTTTTGTTCCTTTTTTAAATAATTCAAAAAATTAATTTTTATGAAAATAAGTTTTGTACAAGTTTAACGTATCTAAAAATATTTTGCATGTATTTTTTTAAGCAGCGCGAATGGTAAATTTTTTCAAAGTTTTTTCTATGTATTTCCATGTAATTAGCGTTTTCTAATGTTATGCGTTAGAATTTTTTTTTATTATCTGCACAATCCTACTTTGTTAATGTTATTATCTGTTATTTTTGTCACGTTGTTATCTTGTTATAAATTTTTGTTGCAATGCTTCTTTGTTTCATGGTCATTATGTAACTTATCTTAATATTTTTTTTGTTATATTTTCATTCTGCTCATGTGCTTATAACACATATTTTTTGTGAATGGTGTATCCGTTGATATGAATAAATAAATAAAATAAAATAATTAGAGTTTGGCCAAACTTCTATGCTGATACAAGCTAACTGATATGTTATAATCACAACAGATCTTTAACGTTGAAACCAGCTAAATCTAACTGTTCGGTGTCCTAATCGTAGATCATTTTGATAGTAAATATTTTAACATTACATTTATGACCAAGATATGTAGTTAACACGAAAACAATTTTTTGGCAAATAAGATTAAAATAACAACCACTGTATTCAAATATTAACGCGTCTCAAATGTTAGCAAGCCCGAGTAAAAGTTTTGAGGATGTTTAGGTTGTGATATCCTGTGTAGCTTCCTTGGTAATCTACATTCGAAAAATAATTTTAAGATTAAAGAATAACTAAACACTCTCATGTTTAGTTTAGCTGTTACAGTACAGTACTCTTTTAATTGTGTCCAGTGGTTACCATGATAGGTTGCATGGTATAAAATAAACGTGCCGCCTCAACAGTCTAAGTAAGAGCTGTTTTAAAATCTGGAAAGCCAACTTAACCGTTTCATTTTATAATCTAACAAGTTGGCCTTGTTTTCCTAAAATTAAAACCGGTTTAGATTTTTGTCCTTTTTTCATTTCGCTTTTTAAAGCATAATAATTATAAGTAGCCTAAACCTATAGCAATAGAATTAGAAGTTATTTAAAATCAGAATTTTGTTACAAAATCAAATAACTCAAATTTGGTGAAATCAAAATAAGAAAATGTGTATTGTTGTTAACAATCTATCCATACCTACAATTATACAATTAAGGTGGTGTTAGCTTTCATGACTAAAATACAAAGGCCAAAATTAACCACAAAATTGGTTTACATATCTAGGAATGTCTTACCTTACTAGGTTCCTCTTGGGCTATGCCCTTTGGATGTCCAAAGTTTTGAGGTGAAATATTCAAAAGTAAATATTATTGGTCTCCATGAAAAGATGAGCAAATTTACCATTGCGTTTCCAATGTAAACAATCAGAACTGCAAAATGCTAATTTCACAATATCAGACAGCTGATCCAAGCCAATTAAATATAATATTTTACACAACCATGGTAGCTTTATTTATTCCAAAACTTTGGCATAGATTATGTATTCTAAAACCTTGTCATAGATTATTTATCTTAAAATTAAATCATTGATTATGGAAATAACAAAATTCTATAGCCGTTGCTGTACAACCCAGGCTCTGCTTTCTATTTAAGTGTCTAGTTTATGAAAATAATGTTACCGATGTATTTTCAAGTAAACAGTAGAACAATTACACTGTAGGTTAGGCCTATATTTTGTACAAATTTGGTGGCTTTTTGTTTATAAATTAGAACTAAATTGGATTAGAATGAGTGTTTGGATTAGAATTAGGATGTTACCCTGCGTGCTCCTTATCAGTGACGCCTAGTAAGAAATAATAATTTAGGTTCTGACTCTTGTTTATAGCAAAGCATTATCATTGTATTTTTCCAATCTTAAGAGTCTTCCTTAGTGGAAGCCATGTTGGATTTCTTCCCCATAAGAACAATGTTAAACATTACATCATTTGTGGACACGTAACGGCGTTATTTGTTAAGATATAGCTTTGAAATTTATAATTTGTATTTTTAACATAATAGACTCGTGACTGAGGTTTTTGAATTTCAAAAATCCATTTTCATTTCCTTTCAATAATTAGCTTAATTTTAAGCTAATTAATAATCAATTATTCATTATAAAAAAAAAAATTGTGAAATAAAAAACGTCAATCTCTAGAGGACCGCAATTCCTTAAATTTAACTCCTTATCCTTAATTATATGACAATTTGCTGATGAGATATTTGGACCCAAAGTTAACATTGTTCTTATGGGGAAGAAATCCAACATGGCTTCCACTAAGGAAGACTCTTAACAATATTCATATTCTTATTGCAAAAACTGACTGATTCTTGGTGTATACTGTATGACTAAAATAGATTATGAAATAAATACAACTATTTCAACCAACTTGATTACCATTTAAACCAAAGATGCATCAGTGTAACAGGTACTGAATTCCAAGACTTGTTGGCTTAAAATTATTTGTTCCAAATGCCACAGCTGATTGTTTTAATAGATTATGTTTTGTTCCAGCTGACATTCCGAAGTGCAAGATGTCAGACCCAATGTTGCCGATGTGCTTCATGTTGGCGACGGACATCCTAAGGCCATACCTAGCCAAGGGTAAGTGTATACCATACCATTGTTGTAACAAGTAGCCTACTGTGCATCGAGCACATAATATAAATGTGAATATGAATATTATGTGCTCGATTAGGCCTCGACCACTGGACATTTTGATTCAAAGCGAGTGAAATATGTCTTTATTAGTGAGTAGGGGTTTCCGTGCAATGCAATGACGTATGAGCCTACAATATCTTTTTAATAACTTCTTTACAATTGTTACAAAATTCGGTATTGTTAACAATGATTTGAGAAACAATCTATAGTAAGTTCAGCATTAGTTATTGTAACAAACCTTTTATATAATTCTAAATCTGTTCAATCTGAATTGGGTCAATCACGCAACAGTGTAAAGAAATTATAGAAAAATGTAAACATGGCTGAGACATTTTATACTCTTTAATCTGTGGTTTAACACAGCAACTTTTACCCGGTCTCTACCGGCTTCCCTCTTGGGGGGGCGTCTTTAATCGGGAATAAGATGTACACTTTTCAATTCATCCATTAACAATTGCAAAACGTTAAGTTTCACAGAGATTGAATATGTAGTTTTATAACGAGTGCATGCAAGTCGTGAAGACTTTTAACATGGATGTAAAAGATAGTGTTTAGAACGTAAAATGCATACGACATTTTTGACAATTAATGGGGATGAGACTTTTGGCTTTTAGATATTTTGTATAAATGTAAAAAAGTTAGTTAAAGAATCATAATCGTCCCTTTATAAAGTCACGTGGTCATTAGAGTTATTCTACCAAGAAAAAACTCGAATAACTTAATTT